ATTTTGTTCAAGTATGACGTTAAAAAACCATGTCCGGAAAATATAACAACGTATGTATAAACGTGCCCACCCATGCTTGTTTTTTCGTTTTTCTTTTTGTTTTTTGTTTTTTCTTGTACTTTTTTTTCCACTACTGGAGACTTTTTGGGTCCCCTATCTCCGTTTTTTACTTTATGACTATTCACAGTAATCTTACTCAATAGGTTCATGGCAATTTTTGTTTTCTAGTTCTTATGGTATTTTTAAAAAAATGGGTTACAGGGACATAAAGAAAACGAGAGGACTGGGGAAAGAACTGGAAACCCAATTCTAAACAGGAAACAAGGAATAAACCTCTATTGCTGCTCAAATGAGGGGTAATGAGAGTAGACCAGGTAAACTATCTGATCTTTTATATATATATATATATATATATATATATATATATATATATATATATATATATATATATATATGAATTACATAAAATGAAACTCAATTACCCCATTCAGATGGCCATTTCCTTCTGGGATATTCTCCTGGTCTTGTCAATGCAAAAACTTTTGTTAAAACTTTTTTTGCATGACAAGCCCCAGGGAGAATATCCTGGGGTGAAATGGCATATCTGAATGTGGTAATAGATTTTCATTTTTGTATATATATATATATATATATATATATATATATATATATATATATATATATATATATATATATATATATATATATTCATTTAAATGCTCTATAATAAATATATTGAGCTTTCATTTGTGGATAGGCGAAATTTTACTTAAAGACACTGATAGACATTTTTTTAATTCTGTTTCTTCGAGACATTGTGACAGTTTGGAATCATTTTTTTAAAATCATTGTCCAAACACCCCGTTTATTTTCTCATTTTTTCCTCCCACGCGTGTTCATTAGCGTCTTTGTTTATTACGTATTCTGATTTTTCTATTATAATACTCCGCCATATTGTTTGGCTCAACTAAGTATATTTAATATTTGAAAATAAAGTTCATATCGCCAAAACAAATCAACTTGATTTATTAGAATAAAAACGAATTTTTTTTTCCACTTACATTTTTAATTTTACTAAATATTCCAGAAATTTCGTGGAGAATATGCATTCGCCGACAACAATCGAACCTGCATCCCATATGGAAACCATCAGTTAGCTTGACGTGCTGCTAACCATTCAGTCACAGACAAATTTCCAGTTAGCAATGTTAAAATTACTGCTTATAAACAAATATGTCCGACGACCCTTATCCGCACGTCAGGCCAGATAACAGTTTCAGTACGGGATAGAGGAGCAATTCCTGTCTGAGAAGGCATATTTTCTATGATATTCTCGAAGATTCAGGCCGGTAATAGTTTACTTAAGACAGAGCATTTACTCAAATAAGTTGTGTCCGTAAAAATAAGGTATAAACAAAAAAATAAAGACAAAAACTGTCCAACATCTGCATATTTTTTTTTATTATGCTGTTACTCAATCTGAGCTTTCGACTCACATGAGCCATCATCAGAGTGGTTATATCGACATTACAACAGAGATGTTCAACATCAAAGAAGACATCCTGTTATGTTTAAATAGAAGTTTGCTATGCGACGATAATGGTCGCGGAATAGCAGACGCAGGTCGAAAATTCGTAAGTTTTTGTCTTTGTTTTCTCCCGAAACTGAAGCCACTATACAAAGCTTAGAACGGCTCATGATCAAACATAATAGACATTCGTTGTCTGTTATATTTAACAATATATATTTGGATATATATATATATATATATATATATATATATATGTATATATGTATGTATGTATGTATGAGTAAAAAAAAGAAAATTTTTCTTTACCGTCGCGTTTCGTCCTATGATGTAGTTTATAAAGGAAAATGTAAGGAATTTTTTTGTAAGATGTATCTATAAATAAGAGTAAAAATATTCTTAGGTTTTTAAAAGTGCCAAATTTAAGAACGCTTGTAAAGATTCTTCAGGTTAACTGTGAATGTCAAGATAAACTATGGATGATTCGAATTGATATAATTTAATGCTGAATAAGCGAAAGTGATTAAATGTTGTCATTGTTGCAGTTCAATATATTATTTTGATATATATATATATATATATATATATATATATATATATATATATATATATATATATATATGAGTAAAAGTCTATCACTTAGCTGATTGATGTTATTTTCAACATCCCTACTCCAGAGTTTCTTAAACGGAGCCGTCCATCCACTCTTCAGGAGGTATCAGCAACTGGACTTTTCTTTTTTATGTACTTATCATTGTTTGTGTTCGTGTGTGTGTGTGTATATATATATATATATATATATATATATATATATATATATATATATATATATATATCCTTTACAATTGTAATTACGATACCTTTAGTAAATGTCCATTTTCACCTACGAATTTTAATTTTAAGCGCTCTTTTGTGGGTCAGTTTTAGCATATTTCAAATTCTATGTTGTGTTAATATGACTCTCAGGGGATTATACCAACGGATTACTACCTACTATATATATATATATATATATATATATATATATATATATATATATATATATATATTATATTATATATATTTGCGAATGTAAATTATTATATGTTATTTTATTTCATTTTAATCTGATAGATTATTTATGTATTTTGAATAATAAAAGATTTTTCTTTTAATTTAAAAAAAAAAAAAATCGACGGAAATGATTTACATTGAGCATTATTTTATTAACACCAGCACTAAAAGACTTGGGAAATCTTTTCGAAAAGAAGATATTTGGCAAGGAACTTTCCGTCTAAGTAAATTATTTTCTCACTTAATATGTGTGGCATTATTTTGTTCGAAGTTGTGGTTGAACTTATTTCCATGTGTGACTAATAGATTTGATAAATGGTTGTCTATAATATCCTTTTTTTGTGATCATAGAAAATATATCGATCTATTCACATACATCTAATTACGCCTGCTTATATTTGTATAACTATGAGAGCCTCTCAACATATACGCATGGTGATTATCTCTCCGCGGAGAAAAATAAGTGCTCGTTGCAAGCATCTCATCTGCTATCAGAAATTTGATTTGTGCCAGAACCTAAATCATTCTTTCTTTATTTTTTCACGCAGCGACTTTCTTTCTTTTTTCTCTGTCTCTCTTTCTCACCATTTTTCTTCCAGTCTCTCTCATTTTCTTTACCACTCATAACCAACTCTATTTTCTATCTCACATTCGATAAAATATTAAATAGCCGGACATATTTTATATAACAGGCATGGTTAATGATACTTGAGATCGTAATTCACTCGTTTTTTTGGTTTTGAGTGTTTTCAGTGCCTATTGAAAGTTAGGGTTAGGGTTAGTTAGTTCTTGAAAATGGCTGAAAAAGCTAAAGGTGGATATATTGATGAGGGCAAAATTTAATCTTAAAATGCTTTTTTTTTCTTTTTGACATTATAAAATTTCTAATGAAAAACCAGGTTTCACTTTTTATTTTACCATGTATAATACTTTCTCTTATTTAAGATACAAATTACAATTTAAAAAATTACCAGGAGTCGCCTGAAACTTTTGAACTGTCGTGTATATCTAAATTCACCATCATCCCTGCCGTACGCCAATACCAAATTAGTCGGGTTTCGATGAAGGCTTGAGGCAGTCGCATGTCTAGCCACTCTGATGACCTGAGAAATATCGAAATAGTCTATCTGTGGATGACTCTCTCTCTCTCTCTCTCTCTCTCTCTCTATATATATATATATATATATATATATATATATATATATATATATACAGTGTATCACAAAAAGTGAGTACACCCCTCACATTTCTTCAAATATTTAAGTATATCTCTTCATGGGACAGCACTGAAAAGTTACCTTTTGACACAATGAAAAGTAGTCTCTCTGCAGCATATATAACAGAGTTAATTTCTTTTCCCCTCAAAATAACTCAAAATATAGCCATTAAAAGTTAAATCCCTGGCAACAAAAGTGAGTACACTCCTAAGAAACTACACCCCTAAAAAGTGAGTACACCGCTAAGAAACTACACCCCTAAATGTCTAAATTGAGTATTGCTTTTCATTTTCCCTCCAACTGACTCATTAGTGTAACTATGCCCATGTGTTCATGGGGAGCAGGTGTATTCAAATTTGTAGTGCAGCTCTAACACACTCTCTTACCGGTCACTGAAAGTTCCAACATGGCACCACATGGCAAAGAACTCTCTGAGGATCTTAAAAAACGTATTGTTGCACTACATAAAGATGGCCAAGGCTACAAGAAGATTTCCAACACCCTGAAACTGAGCTGCAGCACAGTGGCTAAGGTCATCCAGCATTTTAAAAGAGCAGGGTCCACTCAGAACAGGCCTCGGGTAGGTCGTCCAAAGAATCTGAGCGCACGTGCTGAGCGTCACATCCAAATGCTTTCTTTGAAAGATCGGCGTAGGAGTGCTGTTAGCATTGCTGCAGAGATTAAAGAGATTGGGATTCAGCCTGTTAGTGTTCAGACCATACGCCGCACACTACATCAAATTGGTGTGCATGGCTGTCACCCCAGGAGGAAGCCTCTTCTGAAGGCAATACACAAGAAAGCCCATAGATTACTGGAACCATGTCCTATGGTCTGATGAGATGAAATTTAATTTGTTTGGTTCTGATGGCCTTAAGCATGTGTGGCGGCGACCAGGTGAGGAGTACAAAGATAAGTGTGTCATGCCTACAGTCAAGCATGGTGGTGGGAATGTCATGGTCTGGGGCTGCATGAGTGCTGCAGGTATTGGAGAGTTACATTTCATTGAGGGAAACATGAACTCCAACATGTACTGTGAAATACTGCAGCAGAGCATGATCCCCTCCCTCCAGAAACTGGGTCGCAGAACAAGCATGACAATGACCCCAAACACACATCCAAGACAACCACTGCTTTACTGAAGAAGCTGGGGGTAAAGGTGATGGACTGGCCAAGCATGTCTCCAGACTTGAATCCAATAGAACATCTTTGGGCCATCCTCAAGCAGAAGGTGGAGGTGCGCAGAGTCTCAAATATCCGCCAGCTCCGCGACGTCGTCATTGAGGAGTGGAAGAGCATTCCAGTGACAGCCTGTGAAGCTCTGGTAAACTCCATGCCCAGGAGAGTTAAGGCAGTTTTGGATAATGATGGTGGCCACACAAAATATTGACAGTTGACATGTTGTATGTTAATATTGACAACTTTTCCTAAGGGGTGTACTCACTTTTGTTGCCAGGGATTTAGCTTTTAATGGCTATATTTTGAGTTATTTTGAGGGAAAAATAAATTAACTCTGTTATATATGCTGCAGACAGGCTACTTTTCATTGTGTCAAAGTGTCATTTTGTCAGTATTGTCCCATGAAGAGATATACTTAAATATTTGAAGAAATGTGAGGGGTGTACTCACTTTTGTGATACACTGTACACACACACACACACACACACACACACACACACACACACACACACACACACACACAATATATATATATATATATATATATATATACCTTCCGTTAAGTTAACCGTTTAAATGTGTCAATGTCTGCTAACTCACTCATGTTTTCTCTCCCCCCCTCACTTTGTTAATTTAGATATGTTTAATACGGCCCGTCAAAATGTGTAAATTTTCTTTTTCATTTTTTGGGAAGTAAAAGTCTGATGATCCGCAGTCCTTTATTTAAATTATTTGCTCTGGATTTACATTGAGCTCTCTGGATTCTAGCCTCCTTAGGTTTACCCATACGGATTACCTAGTTTTTCATAAACTAACTAACTAACTATATATATATATATATATATATATATATATATATATATATATATATATATATATATATATTCAGCTAAATAACAAGTTTGATATTTGTAGTAATCATTTCTATATATATGATTAATACATACATGCATATATATATATACATACATATATATATATATATATATATATATATATAATTAATACAAATATAAAATTGGTTACTAAGCTGAATGATGTTATCTACAGCATCTACTATCGTAGACGCATTCTCCTGCAAATCCTCCGTTCACTCGTCAGGGAATATATATATATATATATATATATATATATATATATATATATATATATATATGTATGTATGTATGTATGTATGTATGTATGTGTGTGTTTGTGTGTGTGTGTAATTATTTCATCCCAACTAAGGCGATAATGTCACTAAGACAACATTGGTTATTGAAAGTAAAAGAGAATGAGAAAGAAGAAATCGGGAGAAATTTCCACAGGTGAGAAGTGCGATAAACATGGAACCATTAAAATAGAACTTGCGGTTGCATCTCGCTATTTCAACAGTAAAGCGACGAGACCCTAGTGGCCAATCTTGTAGCCCGCTTAAATTCGTCCCTTCACCTCTGCGTCAATACTTCTACGCCAAGTCTGTTTTGGTCGGCACACTTTTCGCATTCCCTTGTGGATTCCAGTTAAAGACCTGCTTGGTGCCACTAGAAGCAGGCTTTTGGAGTGTGTGGCCGATCTATCCCCATTTCCGTTTCTTGATGTCAATCTCGATTGGGTCTTGTCTGGTCCTGTCCAACAGTCAGACGTTGGAGACGACTTCCGGCCATCTGATATTGAGGATGTTCCTGAGACATCGGTTGGTAAATGTCTGAAGTTTGTGGGTGTTAGCCTTGGTCACCCGCCATATTTCTGGGCCGTAAAGTGGAACCGACTTGACGTTGATGTTGAAGATCCGGATCTTGTTGTAAAGTGAGAGGGTTGCTGATCTCCATATTGGCCGCAGAGTGTTAAAAGCGTTTTGGGCTTTGTTGATTCGGCACTTGATGTCTTCATCTGACCCTCCCCCAATCTTTACTGACGACGCTTCACAGGTAGACAGATTTATCGACTTCCTGAATGTCTTCTTGGTGTAGTCGCTCTGGGTCTTGTTGTCTGTTGTCTGTTGTCTACTCTCATGAGCTCTCGATGTTGATTTGGAGAAGAGCTTATTAGAACAATTGCCATGAAAATATCCATAGCAAAAAGAGAGGGAATCCACGTCAAGGCAATGGGAAAGTGAATGAAATCGTGTTTGCAAGTCAGGACGGATAACATTAGTGAACTTATGTTGTGAATCTCATGCTATATAGCAGGAACATTTTCTCATCTCGCCAGCTATGAGTTAAATAACAGGGCCGACCGGGTCATCTTGCTTTGAGGTGACAACCAGTCTATGAAAAAGAAAAATCTGAATTTAAAACCTGTCTGAAAAGAGACAAATTATCTTGCTTTAGCTACAACACTACTGTAATATCTGCACTACATGTAGCGTACCTATGACCTTAATGGCTTATGGGACTTATGATACGAAATCTCTATTAATTAGAAAAAAAAAAATTTTTTAGCTTTCTATGACCCTACGCTAATCTTCAAGAAGTTTTTTTCGAATTTCTTCTACGTAAAATGATTTGGCATTGATACGATAAAGTTTAGCAATTTCATTTTGAGCATCAGAAACGTTGCACTGATTGAAATGACATGGCCGGATACTCCTGGGAAAGGTATATATCCACCTTATTTTCCTCAGCTATGGGTTTTTTAGTAAGACTTGTATCATTAAACCATTATTATCTCAAAAAAAAAAAAAATTCTTACAATCTAAAAATATTTTCTGTAATTAATATTTTTGTAATTAATAGTAATGAAACGTGATATCACAGCTGATCCAATAATTCTTCTAGCCTTAGCTACACCGCTACTAGGCCCCATATGTACAATTCATTATCGGGGGGGGGGGAATAACAATTTTAAAAAATCTAAACCCCAAGGAATATTTACAAAAATGAACAAAACTATTTAGAAGAAACTAAACAAAATAATGTTAGTAGTAAAAAAAAAAAAACCTCACAATCCCGAAATGTGACAGAAACATCAGTTAACTGGACGAAATCAATGCAAGACTGTAATACTATAAAACATTAATGCATTGCAGGCACTCACTCAAGCACACACTCATTCAGACACAAGAACAAATACGAAAATCACACCCAGAACAAAAGGCGGCCCGCATCCACCAGAGAACTAACATCACTGACCACCTGGATGAGATGCGGAATTAGACTAAAGAAAAGCTTGGTACAGAAATAAAAGGGGCCAATGAGCATACATCTCCTAGCTAAGTTAACTTGAAGGAAGAAACCTAGCACCAAGGAGGAGGGCGATATTTACTTGTAATTGTTTAAAAAATGTGGCACAAGGCCAAAATGGGGAATGGGGAAAATGGCGGTCTTCATCATTCTTAACTTTAAACTTAGCTAGCTACAAATACTGACCCAAACATACCACAATATTCCTTACACCAAAACAACGCATTCTTACTTACCTTTCTTACTACATTCACGATAATACCTCATTGTCTCTATGAAAATCCTAACTATTCCCCATATCTACAATTCATTGTCTGGGAGAGGAGAGGAATAAAACAACAATTAAAAACTAGCCCCAATCAGTATTTACAATATGAAAACAAAACTATTTGCAAGAAACCAAATAAAACAATGTTAGTAATAACACCCCAAACAATTCTTAAATGTGGTAGAAACATTAGTAAACTGGACGCAATCGATGCGGGACTTTAATAATATAAAACATCCATCCTATGAACTCACTCAAACACACACTCATTCAAACAGGAAAAAAAAAAAACACCCGAAACGAAAGGCGTCCCGTATCCACCAGAGAACTGACATCACTGACCACCTAACGAAGGAAGGGATGGGGAATTAAACTAAAGAAAAAGGAGGGATAGAAATAAAAGGGGCCAATGAGCGTAGATTCCCTTGAAGGAAGAAACCAAGTACCAAGGAAAAGAGTCTATTAGAATAACTGCCATGAAAATATTTATAGAAAAGACAGAGGGAAGCCACCTCAAGTCATGAGGCCAGGTCAGGGCCGTTAACATCACAGACCTTTCTTTGGATTCTTTTTCTGTCCCAAATTTCGAGATATATAGCAGGAGCACCAAACCAGATATGGCAGAAATACGATATTGCATAATTATTTTAAGTGAATAATATCTAGAAGGAATTATTTTCTGATAATGAAGTATTTCATGATTTCATATGGATTAATATCTGAGTCCTAAAAATCTACAGAGTATGTTTATTTTATTTATTATTGTGCATATATATATATATATATATATATATATATATATATATATATATATAAATATTTTTACTAACGACGCTCCCAGGTAGACAGACTTATCGACTTTCTTAATATCTTCTTAGTGTAGTCGCTCTGGGTCTTGTTGTCTGATGTTTACCCTCATGACCTCCGTCTTCTCGATGTTGATTTGAAGGCCAGTCTCCTCCGCTTCTTCTGCAACACGACTCAGCTAAACGGGAGAGAAAAGGGGAATGAAACTAAAAAAATGTTGGGGTGCAGAATTAAAAGGGGCCAATGAGCATACGTCCCCTAGCTAAGTTAACTTGAAGGAAGAAACCAAGTACCAAGGAGGAGAGCTTATTAGAACAAATGTCATGAAAATATTTATAGAAAAGAGAGAAGGAAGCCACGTCAAGTCGTGAGGCCAGGTCAGGGCCGTTAACATCACAGACCTTTCTTTGGATTTTTTTTTCTGTCCAGAATTTCGGAGGAAACCAGATATGGCAGAAATACGATATCGCTCTGGCATAATTATTTCAAGTGAATAATATTTAGAAGGAATTATTTTCTGATAATGAAGTATTTCATGTGGATTAGTATCTGAGTTCTAAAAATCTACAGGGTATGTTTATTTTATTTATTATTGCATATATATATATATATATATATATATATATAGGATATATATATATATATATATATATATATCATATAGGATATATATATATATATATATATATATATATATATATATATATATATATATATATATATATCCTGTATTGTATTGATGTGATGAATCTTTGTATACATATGACGAGAGCTGGTGTCGGTCGAAGATGGCGCTGCGTTTGATATCAGGGGCAGATAATGCAAGATTTTTTCATTGGTGCGCGTAAAGCTGCAATCTGACGTCGATCGTAGGGAGATGC